ATTGGATTGTTCAATTTAAGCCCCTCAATTCATGATAAGCTGATGAATTTGGAAGGCAAAATACAAAAGTAGGAAAAAGTAGAAAAGAAGAAAAAAAAGAGTTTAATTGAAATTATTTGCATTTAAATATGTAATATTAAGGTGGTAAAAAGTAGAATAAGTTTTTACCTTTATTTGTTCAACTGAGCAAAGAAGCTTGCAATTTACATGACAAAAGGAAGAGATAAAAGTTATTCCAAGTTATTAATCAACTTTGAAACATTTTTAATGGAGAAATAAAATTTACTTTAAAATCATTATAATTCACTTCATTTCATTTTCAATTATTTTTCAATTCATCACCTTCAATGAGAAACTACAGAACCTGAAAAATTATCAAGAAATGCATTTCATCCCAAGGCAAGATTCATCATGAATCAAATCTTGAAACATTTTCAACTTCAATATTCATTGATTTTCAATGCAACAATTAACAGGGAAAAATGTGAAAATATTTCAACATTTACTTTGGATCCATTGTTTGCCATCTGGTTCATGTTGGGTGTTCATTAGAGGCTTGAATTAACTCGATATAAAATAATTGAGTGAAAATGATAATTTATGCTTTTCAATAATATTATTTATAGCATTTAATGATGCATGATAATTTTATTTATACCTCAGTTTCATGGTTGTTTGGGTTTGTTTTTTTCCTGTCTTTCGCTTTTTCTCCTTTTCTTTCTCGTTTTAATACAATAAATAACAAAAGAGGATAAACTGATTAGGGTTGAAATGGCAGGGAAACATGAACAAAATTGTTAATTCAATAATTTTTTTTCAAACTAATTTAAAGGTTCAGAGTTGATCCATAAGTTGAGTTTGAATTAATGGAAAACAAAAGTTTAAAATGTTGCAAATTCATTTAAATTCATTTCAACCTTTTTTGATACTTTTTCTGGTTATAATCAAAAACAATGAGTTTTCAGAACAACATTGAAATGTCATTTTTTAACCTCAAAGTTGGTCGAGATAATTCAACAGTAAAAGTTTTGCAGCTTTGAGCTTTTCGATTTGAAAGTTGAAAAAACGAAAAAATATGAAAGTTGAGAAAATGATGAACTTTGAAAATCTGAAAATCTATCAAATGTAAGCATTTTGATCTGAATAATCTTCAAGAAGAATCGCTCGGAAATGAATCATTTTGAAAATCTCTGCTTTCGATTGGAAAAGTTTAGTTTTGGAATTTATTTTTTGCTCGAAAATCTGAAACACTTTTGATTTGGATTTGAAAAATTGATGCCAAATGTGATTAAACGTTTATCCTGACTTTTAATGAGCTTTCAATATTTCCATGATTTATTGTTCTTTACAATTGACTCATCCATTTGTTTGAGGTTGACAAAGTTTCAAGTTTGCTCACACAATGACCCACATAAATGTTCATGATAAACAGTTTACCATCAATGAATCTGATCACCCATATACACTGAACTCTTGGTGGTGATCAAAATTTTGAATCAATTTCTTTGCCTCCAAAGCAAAAAGCTAAAAGCTCAAAACTCATCATTCAAGTCGATACAAAAATGCATGTTCATACGGATTTAGATTTATCTGAAACAAAATTGTTCTACATTTTCATCCATCAAATTTCGAACCCAATACGTTCTAAAAGTCATCAAATCCATCGAAAACTCAGTGAAATTTCTATCAAAATATCAAGCAACTTCGAAAAAATTTCAAGTTCTAATGATTTACATTTTTCTAGAAAATTATTGAATAACAGAACTTTTTTTCTTTTGAAAACCAATGGAGAAAAGCTTAAATTTTAAGCTTAAATCTCAACGCTTTTACAGTTGTAAAAGTGACCCATGAAGATGAATTCAACTCGAATATTTGAAACTCTGAGTAAATATCATTTCATTCTGTTAACAATGAACTTAATGTTCTCTCCATCAAAGAGATTGGCTTTTTTACACTTGTTTGTGCTTATTGTTTATGAATGTTGGAATAGAGTTTTACACCTTTTCAGGTAAACAGGGCAACATGGGAAAAAATTATATCCTTCATTCAATATTTAGGTTCATTTTAACACTTTTTTTCTTGCAAAATGTAAAGACTTTTCTTGCCTTTTATTCGGGTGAATAGAAAGTGGAAATAAACTTTGTAATCTTGTTAACAAATAATTTATCAATTGTGATTACCATTGAAACTCATCAAATAATCAACTGTTCAAGATGGTTACATGATGGAGTGAAGGTGAAATGGGATAAACTAAATGCAGTTACCATTCATTCAACTATGTCAATGACCATTCATTGATCAATTTAACTCTGAATATGAATACAAATGAGATCATTTTCTTGTTCAACTGACCAGCAATTTTTTCAGATCAACTGTGAAAGGAATGGGAAAAGCAAACTTATTCAATATTCAATTCAATTTTGGTTAAAAGTTCAACTTGAACAACTTTTCTTGCTTTTATAAAGATTAATAAGTTTAGACTGAAAATTCAATTTCAAATGAAATTTTCCATCAAATGATGCAAATATCTTCAACAATTTGATTAGTTTTAAATTTCATTATTCATACTGTAATGCATCAAAGATAGTTGGTGGTTGAAATTAATCTTTAAATTTAAAATTGTAAATCGATTCGAATTACTTATCAAAGTCGAATTTCGCAAAATTATTTCATACTCAAACATGCTATAGGATCTATCGAGTATCTCCAATCTGATAGATTCATTCTGATTTTGGAATACTTCAAATTTTCGAAATTCATATTCGAACTGAGCTTTTTGAGCTTTTGACTTTTGAAGAATTGACATTTCCGATAATTTCGATAGAAGTTTCGATCTCTGTTCTCTGAAGCCATCCAGTAGAGTCAATGGATGAACCTTTTTTTGCGTTGATTCAGTTCGAATATTTCCGAAAGATTTGAATATAAAGTTTGTGTTACTGAATTTCAAACTCCAGGGAGTGACTTCATCAACTACTGTGCTTAACGTTTCGTTAACGAATTGACACCTGAACACAATACTCACTCGAAGCGCATTTCTGAATTTAAGTTCATTTCGTGTTCAGCAGAAAATTTTCTCTAAAAATTTCAAAATTCTCATATAATTAAGAGCAATTTACTAAAGAATTTTTCGCTTTTGACAGTTGAGTTCGAGTTTAAAGTACAAAAGGCTAGACTAACATTTCTTTTAACCTTAACTGATAAAGTTTATACGTAACATCAATTTTGTGACATTAACCTGATGCCA